GGGTTAACAGTTTTGATAACTATACTACTATAGATTAATATCTAATTTATATTAGCGTTAATATCATTAAAGTGATGACAATGATTGTAATGACAGTTAATTATAAAGCTCAATTATAATGCACATGTATAAAAAACTAAATTATTCTTTTGTAGGATTTCATTTTATTGTTCCTACACAGACACATAATTGGTAAATAGTTCGAGTAAATGGATAGGTATCTTAGTGAACCCTATTAATTGTACGTATTATTAGTATATTGTGTGGGATTTGTAATTATTTTAGTAATAATACAAATTATAAAAAAGTACTTACGTAATAGATGTATTTTGTTTTAAATCTAATCGGATTCGTTCAATAAGGCAAATAACGCGTTCTTCAGTTGACACCTATTATAGGTAAGTATAAACGTCGTTTTACCGAGTGGTTTTGACAGTTGAATAATTGGATCAACAAATACAGAACAGCCGGAACATAATATTATAATAAAAAATTTCATTGGTTCCATATCTACTTGCTGTTAGGACGAAACATATTTTGATTATCGTTTTATAGAAAAAAAAATTAAATTTTATACAGGTAAATATCCACATAATATTATAATACCTAATCATTAATGTTCTTTAATAAAAGTAATTAAATTGATTATATTATGTTATAATATTATATTCGAACTGGGATTCAGGACAAGATTACGGAGGTGGAGGGGACCATTTTTAAAACTCACACAGCCCACATTCATCACGAAAGTATAACTAAGCGTATTTTGGGGTTTCATCTGTACAACATTCCCTTTATATACGGTGAAAGAGTGATATCAAATATCATATAGGTATTCGTTTGCATACAATACTTTCGAAAAAAATTAATAAATCTATTATTTTATCTACGGGAAAACACCTATATTATTCAATCCGATATAATAATAACCTACGTAATCAATTACCGATATAAAATGTAAAACAATCAAAAATGCTTTTAAAAATCGGTTTTAGTGATGACATCTTTTATGCAAATCTTTAGATGACATTGTTATTAATGACAATCGCATCGGTGTTTTTTTGAAATACTACGGGTAATTATCAAAAATGATACAGTTCTTATAGGTACAATTGTTATTAAACTAAACGTAAAATACGATTTGTTAACGATTCAATAATGAGTTGAACGTTTAGAGAATTGTAAAATGCCGCCGAAGACGTGTCGCCGTCTACAAATTTATTATGTATAACGTACGCGGTTTATCTATAAAAACGATTTTAAAAGCATTTTCGCATAGGCGCAAATACTGGGGAAGATCGGAGGATTTAGTCGTTGCAAATTTATGCCAACTCCTCCCATTTAACAGTTGGTACTACGAGTGATAATAAGACTACTCGATGTAATTTTGAACAAGACGGGCATACTTCTCACGGACTCGTGACGGGTTCGTCTAACCACAATACAGAAACTGCGTATTACAAGCGGAAAATAAAACGTTACAGTTATACAGCGGCGGCTCGTGGGTACGCGCGGCGGAGTTTAAATATAAATACACACCATAGAACACATTAATGATGAACGGTACTATAATAAATGTTATTGTAAATAAACATTAGTGTGTTCACAAATGACAATTAACAATGTAACCGACGACGGGCGTACACGCGGGCGATTTTAAAAATAAATCACCGATTGATATAATAATGTCAAACCGGTCGCCGCGTCTCCGCTTGCAATGCACGCGCGTTCGACGGTATTGTAATTTTGCAGTACGGAAATGTTACCATGTGGACATTAAATAGTTTGAAATAACTGCGAATTCCAAATAATTCCTTATCGCGAAACCCCGGGAACGCAAACGTCGTACACGCGATATTTATAATTCTGGACGACGCGGAACGTCGTCGGAAATTACAAACGGCTTAATTCGCGGCTTAATTTTACCCGCACGCACACGGTCGCTACGCAAATGTATTGACATTCGGGATAATAGTTTGGACGAGTTGGTAGAAGTTATTCGGCGAGGACGGCAAATCGGCCAACAGTGATGTACACCGCATCGTATTTATTTAGGCGGCGAACAAAACAATTTGCTAATCGCACCACGATACAATTGTATTTTAAAAATAACAATTATTTATCGTTTTGATAATTTGAAAACTATTTCAGCGTTGTAATATTAAATAATACACTACAATCAAAATCAATTTTCTTCTTTCTTTTGGGGCTATACTATCAGTGGGAGTTTCGATCGTTCCGTAGGTAAGTCCAATACTCATTATTGTTACCAAGTTTCAAGTCTCTACGTATATTTATAACCGAATTACATCCAAAAAACTCCCGAAAATTTAAAATTCCTTAAAAGCTTAAAAGTGGCTCAATAGTTTTGGCGATTATACCGTAAGGAATTAAATCGACAACAAAACAAATGGTGTCTTGATTTTTCGATTAAATCGTTTTTTCTGGTAGAAAACGTCGTCCGTGTTTTTATAAAATAATGAAATCGTGAAATTGTACGTTTTTCTACGTTTATTCCCACTTGAGTGCTTTTGTTTAAAAAATGCCGTCGAAAATCAAAAATAATGATCTATTTAAAGTGCCAACTAGACTGCTCGTGCTTTCAGAAACGTTGCTACAAGTAAAGATCGGAGCAAGTTTACTAGGAAAAAACGTGTCCACAGACTAGAAGAGGAAGAAAAAAAAAATAAACATCTCAGTAAAACCAATAGCTCCCGCGCCACGCTCGGAATCTTAAAGGTTCGGCGCGCTCGCGTTTACACAATATTATTCTTTCATGCCGTACGCCACACCGCACACTACTTATACATAGCGTGTAGTTGCGTCCGTAAACCGCAAATTACCAACTGCCCCACTCACTCGGATAGGTTACCAGTAATGATAATGATAAATAAATAAAAACATTAATAATAATCTCAATTTAACCTAATTTAAAAAAAATAGGAAAATGTAATAAATTAGTAGTAATAGATAATAAGAGGAGATCGAGGTATATGCTCATCCTCCCCCCCCCCACGGCCGGTGTTTTAGCATTTCGCATAAAAGGACCAAACAAATTTATATTAAATCTATATACATAAAAATTTATATCCAAGATATTACCAATGATATTCCGATAATCGCCAGCAATCGCGTATAAATAAAAAGCTTTCCACTGACACCATATGTCGTGTAATATCCAACGATATTTAGGTGTGTCCACACTAGTGCGTTTTCGTTTTCGACTGTCGATTCCATTTGCGTTTCAACTATTTCTTCGTCATTCGACAAGCGCATGCGATTGTCGAGTGCTTTAAACGCACGCTTTTTTCTGTCCACACCTCACAGGCGTGTCTACACCAGCAGTCGTTTTTCACCGTGCGGTATAGTTGAAACTAAAAGTATGTCAGGTTCTAGTTTACTTCTCGGTATTTCTGCAGCGTACTATATTATCGTGAACGCGAAAAACGAACGTTAGAAAAAGCGTTCCTAATGAATAAAAAGTTATTTTAAAACACGAAACTTCGGTGTTATTGGTGATTTGCAATTGGACGAAGACTTTCTGTTCGGAAACTCCACGCGAATATCTAAAACAAATTTCTTTTCATTATTATTAGAAATGATCGAGCCCGAAATTATAAAACACAATGCTAAATTTAGAGAGGCAGTACCACTAAACATAAAATTGTTATCAACACTTCGGTATTTAGCTACTGGTGATTCATTTTTATCTCTAATGTACCTATTTAGAGTTTCCAAACGGTACCTATATATTTATTTATAATATACTAGTTGTCCCGCGCCCGGCGTTGCCCGTGCCAATTTTTATTATTATTATTTTACCCATATTCATTTTTGGTTTTGGAATGGCCATGTTAGAATTGAATGAAAACAAATAGGTGGAAAGTGGGTAGTCCACCTGCGGCGGCCTAAATGTGTTCTATTGTGATATTTGAATAGTGTAAATAATAGTGATAATACAAATTATCATAGTTTTATTTTATAATGTGTCGGTGACTCGTTGACAGGCCAGTCTGTCTCAATGCATTAGCTCGACGGCGTTCATTGCGTTGCTCTTGACTTTCATTAGTACGTGTGATTACAGCCTGGTTTCTTAAATTTTCATTGTCCTCGATTTTTTTTTAAATGGTGGGGGGGGGGTTGATGGATTTCAAAGGAAGTTAAGCCTAATCTAACTTATCAGGGAGTGGGGACGCTCGACAGCGGGAAAGCGCGTGTACCGTATTATAGCTAATTGCTTGTATTACTTGTACTACGGTTCAAATCAGCCCCTTTGCGTTTTGTTGGCATTGAAATATGCGCAAAACACACGTACATAGATAGGTTAGGTTAGGTTAGCAAAATTAGCCAAATCGGCCCAGCCGTTCTCAATTGTTATTGGCACGCGGGTGCCACGGAAACCAATAATAAAAAATAACCACATAGAGTGTATATTATCTCTCCATGGCAAAATAATAATTGTTGAATATCGTGCGTGCTAGTACACTTTGACTTAAGAGGCCGTAACTCCGGAACCACTTATCGCAGAGCATACAAACTTAGATAGTAGCCGATTCTCAGACCTACTGAATATGCATATAAAATTTCATGAGAATCGATCAGGCCGTCTCGGAGGGGTATGGGAACAAACATTGTGACACGATAATTTTATATATAAGATGTTAAATGTTTAATATGGATACGCATTTATTTATTTCTATATATATAAACTATTGATTTATATACATTTTATCCATTATCAGAGAATAGAATTGAAGCGTTTAAATTTAATTATTAATTACATAATGTAAAAATATTTCCACCAAACCCGGGGAAGAAAAGTATTTTTAGAATCTATGTTTTAATTACTATTTATACACTGTTTAGGTACGCGTGTTATTTTAGATTTAACAAAACCGCGAATAAACAATTTCAAAAATTATGTACATACTGTTAAAAACTTACTTGTGCAGATATATTGAAATCGGAGTTCTCTGGATTTTCGTGTTCTTGGTCACTATCTACTGTTTCTTTAGGCGTCGAACTATCCGCAACAAAAAGGAGAGAGGCGCATACGCGAACCACGATGAGACGTTGGTTTCATCAGCACCCGAACCAGATTTTCTTTTAAGCGATTTTTGGCGCTCTTTCGGAAAATAAGAACGCAAGTTTTTAATTTTGATTTTCACGACGGATACACCAGTGTTAAATTCATTAGCAACACGCTCCAACGCACCATTTCTTTTAATTTTGTTGCAATAATCGGTATGATTTGCGTCCCATATAAGTTTTGCCGCTTTATACGCTTCAATAAATCGTAACGTTTGATTTCCGTCCATTATTATGAGCAACACACACAATATAAACGAAAAAATTATAACGATACAAATAAAAATACTGAAATAAACAATAAAATAATTACGGAAGTCGCAATCAAATCGCAAGAAAAATCCACTGGGTTTGGAAACATGTGCTTTGTCGCGTGTTGAACAAAACTTTTCTCCGTTCAATTCGATGGACGCTTGCGCTTATCGCAAGCAAAAACGCACTAGTGTGGACATATCTTTTAACCAAGTTACCACAATATGTGATTACCTGACCAAATTGGATCTTTGATGAAAAACCAAATATAGGTTGATGCCGGATTACCGATTAATTCAAAATAAAGTCCTAAAATAATGAGTATATTGTATATGTATATTGACTATTCACGAGTCAATACTCGGTAGCTATGTCCAAACGTAAATATAATTACGGTATCGAATTTTTTCACGAGCAATTGAAATTGCATAAAAGAAAAATTATAATATTGGCAGTTACTTTAGATCAACAACGAAAGTACAAAAGTACGAACGTGACAAAATAAATAAATATTAATATACGTTAATAAAATGTAATAAAATAATTTTGTCACGAGTGGAGTGCCTTGATAGAGGCACTCTAATCACACGAGTAGCGAAATAGCCGAAATGAGAAATCGCCATGGATATTATTACGCCATTAATAAACACGCGGCGAATAGTTGAACATTTTCAACTTCGCGGTAACAAACGGTAACGCTGGTTATCGTACCCGAATTACGGTTAATACGATATTATTCATCCGGTCATATCGGCCCACACGGTCCACGCAACACACTGTGTCAGTGGAATGCCGTCTTAAATGTGCGCCGTGTCATCATTTTAATACAAAATAATTCTTTTGGATCCCGTAACGCAGCAGTGGTTCCCAAACGTTTTCAACCTCGGAGCATTTTTTTCAAGCAGTAGTTTCTCGAGGAGCCTCCAAGAAATATTCAACGTCAACTTTTCATCTGCCTGTGTCCTATCTCCCATGAAGCATAATAAACACGAATTGTACACATACGGGAGTCAAAATGAAATTCTATAACGTGACTACGGGCCGAGTCGCGTGGGTCGTTTCGTATTATCTAAAATTCTAAAATCAGATAATCGCATACAATTTTCTTATAAATTGTTATGGTGTTAAGAACAAAGCCCTTGGTAATCCATTGCGGAACACCAAGGGCTCCGCGGAGCACAGTTTGGGAACCGCTGCCATAACGTATTGGTTAGGTTACGGATGTGCGTGTTCTAAACGGCTGAACAACACTGTAGTACTGTACTATTGTGGTTTGTTTAAAGTTGAAACGCATTTAAAAATAATATTATTAAAAAAAAACCTAGTGCCTCCTCGAGTTAAAATGGAATGATGGTTACAAATATGTATCAGTTGTTTTATAAAAAGGAAATTAGTTAACACACTGGATCTCAAAAAGATATGAATAATACATAATACCTATCGAAAAACGACCTCTCTAAGTACCTCCGCAGTAAAAATTCCATTTAGAAATTACAATTTTAAAATTATTTTAGTATCTACTCCAAAACTCCAATACTTAATATTTGTTATGGATCCTATAATATTTGTGTGTATGTGTGTGTGTGTGTGTGTGTAGAACGCCGATAATCCACAATATGTTTTGGGTTTATAGAATATTCTTTCATAATATATATTATATTAAATCAACACATCGTTAAGTTAGCCCACGGATGTTGTAGATAATAATATTAGTTAAAAATAATAAAACGACTTTGTGGAGAACTTTGTTTTCATTTCTTTTTCTTGAGTGTCAAAGTAATAATATTTTGTAGGATTTGAAGGATTTTCGTCATTGTTTTCATGTAAAACGTATCTCATGGTTTTGCACACTAAAAAAAAATATTTAATTGTTCATTATGACAGAATAAAGATTTTCGTTTTCTATTTTTAGAAGAAAAAAACAGGAACTAATGCAATCCACAATTCATTAAATTTTAATTTAGCTTTTTTAATACTCTACTAGCTTAAAAATTGTGTTTTACTTACCAACATTTTTATAGTTGCCTAAATATTAAAGTTTTTTTTTCCTTTTTTTCACATTTGATGTTTATTAACAGTCAGAACTAAAAGTGCACCTACTGACCTACTTTATTTTTCAAACTTGTGACAAAACAACTGATTAATTAGCAATTTTCAAGCCCCTCCCCCATTGAAAAATCCTGCGTACACCTCTGACGCATAACGTACCAAAATTGAAAATATGTGTTCAGCGTTACCAATTTTGCATTGTTAGCTTTAATATTAAAACGTATCGATTTAGTAAGAAACTAAGAACAGTAAGGTTAGTCATTGATTTTGTATGTTATGTGTTTGTAAAACAGAGAAAAGACATACGATTACGGCGTCCTCTAATTACAGTGGTTCTCAACTATTTTTGTGTGACGGCACCTTAATTTAGATCCATAAAAATGACGACACACTTAAAACAATTAATAAAATTAAAATGATACATTAACATTTGGCACACACAACGCTCACAAGTTTGTGACTTGTGATGGTGATTACGACTGAGGACACGCTTAGTTATGTACTTACAAGTAATGCCAATTTCCTAGTTTGTCTTATCTGTGAGTTTAAGCATAACATAACAATAATGTCATATATTTTTGTTTTGAAAACACGCAGTATAAACTATATAGTAGAAACAACCATAAATAAACAATTTTTTTGGCGACACGCTTCACAAAAATATGCGACACACCGGTTGAGAATCACTGCTTTAATATCTATTTAAAATGTTTATTAAAATTTTAAACATGAAAATTTAAATATGAAACCGACATTTCTTTATTTTTTTTTTCATTGGAAATTTTATAATACAATTAGCTTCAACAATTAATTTGGTATGATTTACGTAATAATATTACATAAAATGAATACAAGAAGAATTTCGTATTTTAAGAATAGACTGGTTGATGAAGGAGATTAGAGAAGTAATAATTGATATTATTTGTGAGAAGAGAAGAAAAAAAAAACAATTTCCTAAAATCGTTATTTGAAATTGAAATCAAAATCCAAAAAATAGAAAAGCGGTATATAAAGTCAAAACGGAAACCACAGTTCATTGTGAAAATGTTATTTAAAATTGAAATCGTAAACCACAAAATAAAAGTGAGACTAAGGTAGTTAACTGTCGGGAAAACAACATTTTCAATGGTGGAAATTTCATGTATTTTTTAAAGTTATGTGTGAAAAATCGGATTGGATACGCTTGCCCGAACGGGGGTCCAAGAAAACACAATACCTAATATAATATACAGGTATCTTTTACATAGTCTTTTTTTTTTTTTTTTATGGGATTTTACATAAGGATTTTTGAATATGTTTTTGTTAAGTATCAGTTGAAAACTGAAATCGTATTCAGTTATTAGTTGAAAACGTTGTATATAATTGCACCGGTGCAGCAATAACGAGATATCATGTCCAAAATTGTCGAGAATACATTTTTTCCATCAAAATGTTGGGAAAAAAACCCTTTATCAATTGGTGCAATAACCAGATAAGTCTTGACGTATTCTGTTGTTGCGCCTCAAAAAAAAAAATTGCTCATTGGTATTTTTCGACCTTTGGCGTGGCTTTAACAGCCCGTAAGTCGATTTGTGTGGTACTGGCGTGGTATTAATTTACCCATAAGCACGGATATCATCTTAACATATTTTATACAAATCATAATTCAAGAATAAGGCAATTAATGCACGTTACAACGTGAATGACACTCAATGCGATTGCCTATATACCGGGTACAAATTTTCAAACTTATCTATGCTGAATATGTAATCTACACAGCGATGCACTAGGTATACTCACTCCATTTTTTTGTCATATTTTCGTATATTTAGATTTTTCATAACATTTAAGTAGTGTCCTGTAGCGATACAAACTGTGATTTTTTCAAATGAGAATCTATAATAAAAATTCCACAAATAAACGAAGTGTTACTTTATATAAATTTTAGTGTCAACATTTTTGATTTCTATCAATCCATTAACTATGGATATTCCGCTTTTAAGTTTAGTTCGGGGGAGAGTATTTGAGTATAATTTATATGACGGCACGGCGTGTGACGTTTTATAAGTGCTCCACTACTCTCTCAGATTACCTTTCAGAAATAGTGTTATCATTGCAAATCGAAGTAAAATTGTTGGTAGAAAAGTTGTACAGAGGAAAAAAGAAGGCCGTAATATTTTTTAACCAATACCTATATATTGTACATTTTCCCGTTTTTCCTCCGTTTTTTTTTTCGAATTTTGTACATTTGATGAGAAAATTCTTTAGAAAATCGAAAAATGACTTCCTTAAAGTACCTCCTCATACCGATTTCCTTACAGAAAAGATGCTACACTTCAAAATCGGAGCAAGATTTCTGATAGATTAATTGCGCACGGTTAATAAACATCTTTGTAAAACCATAAGCTTTTCCGCTCCACTCCTAATCTAAAATACCGTAATGCTAAGTTAAAATGGAAAAACGTAATTTATCGTAAACGTTATTTCAAATTGAAATCAATACCTGTATTATTATATAGTACCGGCATGCAAAGTAATAACTCATCAAATAAATCGTAATTGTTTAAAACCGTTATTCGTAATCAAAAACGAAATCGATAATAACAAATACCGGTAACCGAAACCAAAATTGAAATCCAAAACAAAAAAATGTTTCAAGCCTTGGTTTAGAATGTTGGCAACTCCACTGTAGTGAACTCGTCGTCTTATCATTTTTCTGACAACTTGAACATTCCTCGTTATTTATTACCGTAACACAATAATAAGACACTAATCCATAATCGCAAGAATAATATTATATTTCTTATCGCGCGACGCAGCGCTTCGTCCGAAACGCTAATGCGACGATGTTAAGCTGAAATTCAATAATAAATTGTATAGTAATATGAATGGATTGTTTTTGTTTTTTTTTCTCGGTTTCAGTAATTTTTTCGCAGACCGCCATCTGTAT